ATTTCTATGTAATTTTATAGTTTCTAGAATCTTAATAAAGTACTAGCGTAACTGCCTAAGGTTAAAAAAAAAAAAAATAAATAAATAAAATAAAATAGTTAAAAAATCTCCAAAAATAAATCTGATTTTAATTATTATATATACATGATGAAAAGAACAAACCTATAAATTATTTCATTCATTAAATGAAATAATTTATAAGTTTTTCTCTTTTATCACTTATATATACAAACAAATTAAGATTTATTTATTTTTTTTAAAAAAAACCTTCTTAAATTCTTTGTTATTAACAAAATTTGTAAATTTTATTTAATAATTATAAATATAAATATTTTTGAAACTGAATGTAATAATTGTAAAGATTTTATAAAAATAAAATATTTATACTACTATTAAACATAGCATGTAGTATCTTTCAAAGATAATATAAGCCATCTAAAATATCAATAAAATTATTAAAATAGTATCTGATATTATTCAGTTTTAAAAATATTTTCAGAACAAGGCCCTGATACGTAATTTAGTTATACAAGCACTATTAACATTAGTATAATGCTAATATTAGAGTCTTTTTATCATTGTTACCCAGACTATGTTCATGTTTTAAACTTTTCTAGGCATGAACGTGTGCCTGACATGTAGAACTCTAATTGGAAATTGTAATGAATCGTACCGAGAACCGCAATAATGTGACATAATGTTGTAAGTTTTTATTACGTTTACCTGACGTTTTAAAAGCAAATAATTGACGAAGAGTGATTCAATCATCACTGTTAGTTAATACAAACATGATCCAAAGAGGGAGACCGTATGATTATGGATTAATATTGATACAATAAACAAAATTGATCAATCGAGATACATGAAAATTTAAATTGATATTATTTGTGAAAAAAATGAAATGATTTTTTTACGATTTCGAAATTGACATAACGTAACAATTCCTTGATATACGGATATATAATTTTATAATGAAAGTTTACAGAGTGTTGACGTAAGTATGAAATAAGACCTCGTGCAAAACTGAGACATAAGATCGTGTTTGTTTATCGGAAGCACAATCTAATGCGGTAAAACTATAATCTAATGCGTGTAATAATTTTTTTCACTTAATTGTCGCCAATAATTAGTTCACGAAGTGCATGAAATATTAAGATGCAAAATTTTTAAAGTAAAATTTAATTAGGCTGATTTTTTTAATCTTTTGCACAAGAAAGATGTCTGATATTAATGATATATCGTGGTGGAACCCTCCAGAAAGAATTAAACAACTTTGTCTCCAGAGTGATCATTCGATTTCTTATAATAATCACGGATTTTATTCGCCTTTTAAACGTAAGGAGGATTCTTTGTTGAATTTTAATAAAGTTCATATCAAAGTTAATCAAATTTCTAATTTCAAACTTTTTGTTGTCAAGAACAACACTATTCTTATATCACACATGCACCATATCCTGTCAGCTTTCGTACACCTATGATCTCCAATGGAATTTGTGAACCAACATCAGTTTATGATTATAATCTACATTCATCGTCATCTTTTGTCACACCTTTTATAAATCCACGATTGCTAGTCACCGAAACGTCCAATGACCTTTCAACATATCCATCATCTATCACGCATTCGATATTAGGACAACAACAGCGGACACCGGATCAAACTATCGAAGGAGGATTTGTCGATTCCAACTCAGCAACACTATTGAAACAAAGTCAACTTGCAATAATTCCACCAGAATCACGTCAAACAGTGTTTACTAGCTTAACGGAAAATATTACACAAGTTACATCACCAATTAAAACAGCGTATTCTAGCAATAATAATGATGCATATATGGAAGAAAATAATCAAGGGATTACACATACTAATGAGTTTTCGACATTGACTTCTACAATGTCATCACAACAGCATTCTACGGATATTCACAATAAACCACGTCAGAATCGATTTTTGGAAGAAGAAAACCGACGAGATGCTAGACGTAGAGAACGTAACCGACTAGCAGCTCGACGCCATCGTAATAAAAAACGTTATAAGAGCGATCAACTAGAAAGTCAAGTTCATGAATTGATGATTGAAAATGAACGACTGAAAGGATTGGAAGCAGAAGTAGAACGATTGAAAGGATTGCTTAAGAGTGTAAAAAGTGAAATAAATTAGTAATTAAATTGGCGGTTTCATGTGCATGGTTTTTTTTTTTTTTGCTTGAAATGTATTATATTTGTGTATTTTGCGGTTTTGCTCTCTTACATAATATTATTATAGTGTTTCCGGATTTCAATTTTATAGCAAACAAGAAAAAAAGGGCATCATATTATTTCTCATGCATACATAGATCTTGGCTTAAAAATTCTAATTGTAATTATTATTTTTTAGGATGATTAGAATTTATTGCATCTTACTCTTTTTTTAAAAAATATTCGATTCAGTTCATAATCTGTCTATCCAAGAAGTTCTATTCAGGTATCCGTTTAAAAAACTTTTTTCATCAAGATTTTTATCTGTTCCAAGGTTTTTTTATTTTTTTTTTGTATCTGGACGGATCTAAAATTTGATCTATGTTATGAGGTTTGATACTCAGAAATGACTTTTAAATTAGATTTTTTTTTTTATGTCAAATCGCGATAACATAAAAACTTAAAAATACACAATTTAACATTGGGTACTTCACATAATTTATGCGATTTGAAACATTAAATAATATGCAGCAGAAATTCTACTTTCTATTGAATTAAATATGTACTTTCTTTAGCTGGTGTCCCGTTTAACTAATAAATGAAGTTTATAACTAGGCGGTCGTAACATTGCAAATTTTTTGTTAAAATCACATATCAAGGTCATGAGACTTCACCCTACTTTATCGGACTCTATAGATTTTTTTTTTTTTGTTCATAAAGTTTAAATGAAATAATTTATTATATAAATGTTTGCAAGTCGCCAGAAGTAGTTACTATAGCGATAGTAAACATTTTTTGGAATGTGACTTCCAATTTATAAAACGTAATTTCATAATTTTATTCTTTACTAGTGTTAAAAGAACCCAATTAAATATTATAATTATTGTTGCCCACTTGGTCTCAGTTATACTACATACTTTTAATTAAAACCTATTGTTGCGGCTGAAGCATGAAATTTTTTAATATGAAATTTTCAAAAGATATAGAGTTACTTTTATAATAAAAATGTTTAAGTGAATTTTGATAGGGATTATATTTTTAATAATTTCCAGCTTTAGTCGCGACACTTATTATCTAAAAAAAATAATAAAAATAAATAAATAACTATCGAAATAATCAGAATTATATTGTGAAATTCCAAGTTTTGACTGGAAACATCCAAAAAGTCAGTAACAGCGCTAACACTGCCAAGGGTCAGGTAACTCAAATCTGCTTTCTATGCAATTATCTGAAGATCTTAGTTTGTTCATAAAGTTTTTCAGATCACTAACAAATTTTTATATTTTTTCAAGTAAAAAAGGTTTAAATACGGGAAAAGAATTTAACGCTTACCAAAAAAAAGAAAAAAAAAGGTTTCAGTGAAGTAGGGATTATCAGCTAATTATAAGTATGCATTATTGGGCAGACGACGAAAAATAACAGGATATTTTTTTGTAGACTCAATGTGCTGCGTAACAACACATGAGTAAAGTTAACTCCGATGTATGCCCAATAATTCATATGATCATATGAAATGTCGGATAAAATATGTATCCATACTAGGGATGGGCAATGTAATTTTTTATGTAATCGATATGTATTTTTTAGGCCTTACATATTTTATGAATTATTACATATTATTACATAATTTTTAAGAGTAATAGATCACTTGATAAAATTGTGAGGAACGAACATGAGGACGTACCAACGTGAGCTTGTACATCATTAAGAGTGTTCAAAAAACAAAGTTAATGATTAATGACATAATTTCTCATTATTACCTATTGCAATAAAACCTTAAATAAGAATACATAAGAAATATGTAAAAAATTTGCCCATCCCTAATTTCAACAGGGATTATATTTCAAATTGAGACCTAAATTTCAGCATCAGGCGCGGCAATTAATTATACAGGCAATGAAATTTGTACCCTAAAATCAAAGACCGTTATTGAAACCGCTTTACCTGATAATTGAATCACCATTATAGATGCTTTTTAACGGAAAATCTTTTCCAATCGTTTTCATACCTTGAAGTTAAGTGCTTAGTAATACGATAGATCCATGACTGATTTTGATTGGATGGTCATACATAACTGAGTGATCCGTATTTCACTGTGATCTTCTATCCTCAATTGCCCGAATAACATATTCATACGTTTTAAAGTACTTTTTGTAATGATGGATCGGTCTTCGTAAAGACCAGGACTGGTCCATAACGGAATGATTTTCGGTTCTCAGTTCAAATAATGGTCTCATGGTAGCTGATAAGAAAAATGAATTAATAAAAAGAAATAAACTATAAACAATAAAAAGACCTTTACTTTCATTTTCTAATGGTTCACAAAATATTGAAACAAGCCCAACCAATTTATTCTACTTCTTTTATTTCGTCCACCTCATCTAGTTTCATTACCTTTAATGTTTTTTTCGAAACTTTTACATTGGGTGTTCTCAAGCGTCTTAATCAATTGAACAAAAAGTGTCGATGAATAAATTTTACTTAGTGGAAAATAATTTAAGAGAGTCAAAAGTGTTTAACATCGTAATGAATATTTAGATAAACATTGTAGTTTAATAAAGTTTACTACGTAATCAATAAATTTTTATTAGTAACAATTATTACGCGAGTTTATCATTTCAGTTTACAAACATTTTACGGCAGACCACCTTTTTTTTATCCCTGGGTTGGCAAAATTTTTACAATTAATTGAGTATTTAATGAGATCGCACAAGTAACCTTATCATGCAACCTTATTATGCAACAGCCGAATGTTAACGAGCTAAATGTAGTGATAACGACATTTGATAAAATATTAATGGATTGCTCAAGGATTCTTATTTTGATTGATTGTAGTAAATAAGCATCGTCACGTTTATTAGCTAAGTGCATAGAGAATAACGTTTAAGCAAACTTTGATTACTTCATAATTTGCATATTTGATTTTATTAATTAATTATAAATTTACAAAATTTTTAATAAATGTA